TTTAAGATGAAATTTTAAAGTTGTTGAACCTCTGCTAAGATGAGTTTTTCAAATGAGATTTTTAAGTTGTTGAGCCTCTGCTTAAAAGAGCTTTTTAAAGAGAATTTTTAAAGTTGTTGAGCCTCTATTGAGAGGAGCTTTCTCAAGTGAAATTTTAAAGTTGTTGAGCCACTGAGAGGAGCCCTTTTCAAAAAAAGATTTTAAAGTTGTTGAGCCTCTGCTTAGAGGAGTTTTTTCAAGAGAATTTTTAAAGTTGTTAAGCCTTTGCTGAAAGGAGCTTTTTAGATGAGATTTTAAAGTTGTTGAGCCTCTGCTGAGAGGAGTTTTTTCAAGATGGATTTTAAAGTTTGTTGAGCCTCTGTTGAAAGGAACTTTTCTAGATGAGATTTTAAAATTGTTAAGCCTCTGCTGAGAAGTTTGTTGAGCCTTTGTTGAGAGGAACTTTTCTAGATGAGATTTTAAAGTTGTTAAGCCTCTGCTGAGAAGAGCTTTTCCAAAAGAGATTTTAAAGTTATTGAGCCTCTGCTAAGAGGAGCCCTTTTTAAGATGAGATTTTTAAAGTTGTTGAGCCTCTGCTGAGATGAGCCCTTTTTAAGATGAAATTTTTAAAGTTGTTGAGCATATACTAAAATAAGTCTTTTTCAGATTTTAAATTTTTAAAAGTTGTTGAGCCTCAAGTGACAGGAGCATTTTTGATTTGATAAGAAAAACTTTCTGAGTAGTTTATGTTCAAAAAAAAAAGAAAAGAAAAAAATCCATTTAAATTTCGGACAAAATTATTGTATTTGTTTTTGCCCTATTACTGATTATCATCAATGTGCAAAGAGAGACAATTGTGGACATCAAATTTGTCCGACAAAAAAAATTAAAATAGAATAAAAAAAGGGGAGATGGCAGTGGTGCCTTCTTTGGCACCACTACCACCATGCCCTACCACCCATCCCCCCTTACCCTACTATCTACACCTTATCCACTACCCTTATTGTCAAATAAGACAAACAAATAAAGGCAGCATGGGGCTCGTGCTTGCACCCCATACCGAGCCTTATGCCATTCACTATTACAGCTCTATAAATAGAGCTCTTGGCTGAATAAAAAAAAGAGAAAGAAAACAAGAAAAAGAAAGGGAACCCTACAAAAAGAAAAAAAACAACACAGTCCTCGTCGTTCGATGAGGAACCCCAGTGCCTAGAGCTTTCCTGCAGCAAAAAAAGAGGACGGTCAGTGCGGGTTTTCAAAAAATAGAAAACTTAGAAAACTTTAAACCCCGATCTACGTCATCGGAGCTTTTTCTCCCGAAAAGGACAGTGGATCTGAACTCAAGAGATCAAGAGGAGTATTTCGAGAAATTTCAACAATTTTTTGATTATCGACGATCACCGGCAACGACCACCACCTGCGACCCGACGACGGCCGACGCGACAGTCCGACTATTGGATGGCGAGGAAGCTCTGAAGCTCTCCCTAAAGCTCTCCCTTTTTTTTTTTCTGAAACAGAAAAAGAATGAACAAAAAAAATTTTCAGTTATATATAGAGGCCTAAAGGTCAAAATGACGTCGTTTTGAACCTTAAGGATTCGTGCGTCAACTCGTGACCCAACCCGGGGTCTACGTACCTGACCTGCAATCTGCTTCCTCTATCAGCCTCTAACCGGTCCGACTGAACCGAAATTGACCCACTGAACCTGACCTGGATCGAAATTGAACCGCTGAACGTGACCGAACTGCTGACGCTAGACTGAACTGTGCGTTGACCGGATCGTTGACCAGTCCTGTTCAGGTAAAAAAATTTTTTTTTGAATTTTTTTATTTTTTATATATACATTATTTTATTAATAATTATGCATATTAAAATATTTATATTTGTTAGATTAAATAATGAAATATGTGGTTAAATTTTTTTATATAATTCTATTAATTTTTAAAATAAACTTTAAAAATAATTAAAAAAATAAACTTAATGATAATACAAAAATTAATAAAAATGCAAGAAACGAAAATTTTTATCCGACGATAAGATTCAAAGGTACTTCGAGTAGTGATACCTATGAAATCTCTAGGTGAGAAGATTTTTTTAAAATACTAACAATGTATTGGAGTATTTATAAAAAATTTTCAATACAATAAAATTTTTTTTTCTTATAGAATAATAATAATAAAATTAACTAATAAATTAAAAATAGGTAATAAAAAATGAGAAAAAAGAAAATTTTGTCCGATGATGGGATTCCAAATGTATTCCAAGTAGAGATGCTTTAAGAAATCCCTAAGTGAGAAGATTTTTTCTTAAATATTACCAGTATTTTAGAATATTTATAAAAAATCTTCAATACAATAAAAATTTCTCTGTTATTCATTTCTTTTAAATAAGAATAATAATAAAAATTAATAAAATTTCTAAAAATAAAAAAATAAAATGTGTGCATCATGTTATTATTTGCATTGTATGCATGATATAATTTTTACGAAAAGTAAATTCAGACCTCAAAGGATGAAATTCTTAGGTATTTCGAGAAGCAATGCTTAAGAAATCTCTAGGTGAAAAAGAGTTCTTTTAATATTACCAACGTACTAGAGTATTTTTAGAATTATTTTAATTAAAAAGGTTCTAATTTATTTTTCTTGAATAAAATTTGAATAATAAGTTTTTAAAAATAAAACCAAACAAACCAATTTTCAAAAAAAAAATCAAAAAAATTATTTTTCCAAACACCGAGAATGAGATTATTTTTAATCAAAATCAAAGGATAACACGTAGTTAAGTAGTACCGTTTTTAAACGGGCGTCGGGGGGTGCTAATCTTTCTCCACCCGTAACCGACTCTCGAACCCAGACTGTTTCACATACCGTAAAATTATTTTTTTAATAAATTTTAATTAATTTTAAAATCTTATTAGAATGATAAATTTTAATAGGTGACCAATCGCATCTAATCAAAAAATTGGTGGTGACTTTATTTTTTGTTCTTTTATTTTCGTTTCTAAATTCATTAAACAGACATAAAACCATTAAAATAAATACAAAACACAAAACACAAAAACCTTTTTTTCATTTATTTGTGTTCTATTGTGTTTTGTTTTTGTTTAATAATGTTTTTAGTGGAGTCTTGGTAAAAGATCTCAATTGGTTCGCTGGTTCATCTGAATAAAATTATTGTCTTTTGTTTGTATCTTATTATTACTTTTCAATAACATGTAAAGAAAGACGTTATAAATTTAAATTTTATCCGATTTAATTAAAATAGATCTTTGAATTTTATTTACAGTTTTAATGTATCCAGACTTACTATATTTATTGTATATTGAATACAATTATTATGTATATTTATTTAGTTTATCAAATAAAAAAAGTGAAGATAGTAAAAAACAAAAAATTAAGGGGACAACGAATTAAGGCCAGCCAACTTTCCCATTTGTTCTCCCCATCTTTTCTTCTCACGTGCATCCACTTTATCCTTTCCCCATCAAAACTCATGTGCATTAACTTTTTCTTCTTTAAATAGTCAAAACAGCAGGCCCCATCCCATGTGCATGGAGCTCTCACCTTCACCTGCAAATTTTTTTTTGTTGAAGTCAGAGAGTGAGAGGGTATTCTTTTACGAAATTTTTATCAGGTTTTTTTATAGTTATGTCTCACATTTATCACGTAATTATTTTATAAATAGAATTGGTATTTTATTAATATCATCAGACATGTCTTTTTTTATCAAAATTATATTCTATTTTTTGTTTTACTTTTATGGTTGAATTTTGTGTGTGTATATATGTATTTATGCATTTATTTAATTGTAAATTCCATCAAACGAGAGTCCCTTCTATCATCATTTATGCAAACATGCAAAACTTTGTGTTCATTCTCCTTGCTTGAGAGAAACCAAATAGCAAATATCAATAATAGAAGTACTTCAATTGGTACATTATTTCATAAAATATTCAGAAAAGATTTTAAAAGCTTCATTGAGATCGGAAAAAGAAGAGGAATTCAACGCATTGATGTGGTTTATGATTTGGACGAGTACATGGGAAAATGGAACGATAAAAAATTGAAAGAAGAAAAATGCAATGACAGAGAAGAATAAAATTAAATTATTTAATTATTACACTTTTCATAAAATTTGCAATGAATGATAATCTTTCGTCGTGTTTTATATATTTTCAAAAAGAAGTTGGTGGCACATAGCTTTCCGTCGGCAAGTTGCAGCAAATAGAAAATCTTTTGGGTGATCTTGATTGAAGTTAGGACTCCCTGGCTTCTATCAGCCTCTTTTTTTTTATGAACCTTATCTCTTAATGAACTTTGTTGTATCATAAAGAAATTTCCTCTCCAATTTCTTCTGTTTTCTTCAACTTTTTAAAAGAACACTGAAAGAAAGTTATTATAAATTCTCTTTCATAATGGCCTTTTTTTTTGTCCCTTTGGCCAAAGATAATGTGTAAAACTCTCGTTAGTATTGTCTTTTAAAATAATTCCTTAATTTTTTCACTTCAAACAATATAATAAAAATAATTTTCTAAAATTTCTTTTCTTTTCTTCAATTTTTTTTTCAAAAACAGAGCGTAAGAATCATGCAACCTCAGAGATTATGTATTCAATATGGTAACATTTAAATTATAAAAATAAATTATTAAATTATTAATTTAATGATTAAAATTTATTTAAAATTAAAAATTTTAAAATTGAACTTCACATCTTAATAATCACAAAAAAATCAGACATTTGTAAGAATCTAAGACGAGTTCCGTTTCAAAATTTCATTCAACTCCAATAACGAGTACTTGAATTCAATTTTATTCAATTTAATGTATTTTTCATTTTTTCCCTCAAAATTTTTTGAGACTTTGTCGCATAAAATAACAAATAATTTTAAATATTATTACATATAAATTTTAATGTTATTTTCCTCCTTCGCCTCAGTACTACTACTTTTACATTCAATCTGATTTTCCCACTCTTGTTTTCAAGCTTGACCCACCCAATTTCACTTGCCATGCAAATAGACCTTTCGTCACACTCCGCTGCCCATCACATCTGTTATTCGCTGTATATAACCCTAGTAATTAAAACTTGCTTACATTGAGTCGCCTTTGTCAAATTAATTTTCGCTTTGTTCTGTTATTGAAAACAGAAGGCAAAATGAATTAGCTTTCCTTGCCCTTTGGTAAGTGGGAGAATTAGTTGCTGAGCCTGAACCAATCTTTTGAAGAAAGGCAGATTTTCTCATATTTTGAGTAGGTACGCTCCTAAAGACCCTTCCAATTTTAGGCCCTTTGCTTTGGCTCGGTGTTAGTTGCTAATATTAGAGGCTTTTCTTTCTACTTGTTTTATTGTAATTTTCTTTTCTGGTTTAGCTCCACTTTTGTTCTCTGTTTTCCTTTTTCTTTACCTACAGATTTTGTTATTCAGTTTGCTTACGGTTTGTTTCTCGCAACTTAGAGAAAAAAAAAGAAAAAAAGGAAAAAAAATGGAGTTTCTTGTTGCCATCGTTAGCTCTTTTGTCGCCACAGCTGCAAAGTACACGATCTCTCCCATCAAAAACCATATCAAATACTTTTCCAATCATGAGAACCATATTCAGACCCTCAAGAATCAAGCTGAGAGCCTGAAGGATGCGAGAGAAAGAGTGCAGCACTCGGTTGATGCTGCTAAACGAAACGGGGAAGAGATCGAACAGGATGTTGACAAGTGGTTGACTACAGTCAACAAGAAGATCGCTGAAGAAGTGGAGAAAGTAATGCGAGATGAAGAAGACGCAAAGAAAAAGTGTTTCATTGGCTTGTGTCCTAATATATGGACTCGTTACAAGCTTAGCGTGAAAGCTGAAGAGGAGGCGAAGGCTGTTGCTGAGCTACTCGAGCAGGCCGAATTTGACAGGGTTTCTTTTCGTGCAGCTCCACAAGGTATCGTTGGCGCATCAGTTAAAGGTTTCGAAGAATTCGAGTCAAGGACGTTGGTTTTGAATGGAATCTTGGAGGCACTGAAAGATGCTAGTGTCAACGTTATAGGGGTGCACGGGATGGGTGGCATAGGAAAGACTACACTAGTCAAAGAAGTTGTTAGACAGGTCAAGGAGGGCAAGTTATTTAATTCCGTAGTTTTAGCAACCGTAACTCAGACCCTTGATGTTAAGGGAATTCAAGACCAAATTGCAGATTTATTGGGTTTAAGATTTGACGAACAGAGTATGGTAGGAAGGGCACATCGACTGCAAGAAAGATTGAAAAAAGAGGAGAAGATTCTTGTTGTTTTGGATGATATATGGGCAAGATTAGATCTTGAGGAAGTTGGGATTCCTTTTGGAAATGAACATGAGGGATGCAAGATTCTGCTAACTTCTAGAGATCTCAATGTCTTATCAAGTGGGATGGATACTCAGAAAAATTTTGCAGTTGGCCTTTTAAATGAAGAAGAAGCCTGGGACCTGTTTAAGAAGATGGCTGGTGACTGTGTTGAAAGTTGTGATTTACAGGCTACAGCTATTGAAGTAGCAAAGAAATGTGCGGGACTGCCAATCGCCATTGCAACAGTTGCAAGGGCTTTGAGAAACAAAAGTTTGTTTGAATGGAAGAGTGCTTTGTGTGAACTAAAGAGGCCTTCATCAAGAAACTTTAAAGGTGTAACAGCAGGCGTATATTCAGCTATAGAGTTGAGTTACAATTATTTAGAAAGCGAGGAAGTTAAGTTGACTTTCTTGCTTTGCAGTTTCTTAGGCCATAATGGGTTGATTGATGACGTGTTGAAATATATAATCGGTCTGGGTTTGTTTCATGGCGTCCACACAATAGAGGAAGCAAGAAACAGAGTATTGACAGTGGTGAGTAACCTGAAAGCCTTATGTCTGTTGCTTGATAGTTACAACGGTGAACGGTTTGATATCCATGACGTCGTTTGGTATGTTGCTACATCAATTGCAAATAGGGACCTCGGCATGTTTGCGTTAATAAATGGTGATGTGCTGAAACAGTGGCCTGAAAACGAGGCGATGAGAAATTGCAGTGCGATTAATTTACTTAATCCTAATATTAGTGAGCTTCCTGAGGAGATGGAGTGTTCACTTCTTTCCTTTTTCCATATGGCCCATGAAGGTACAGTGAAAATTCCCGCCAACTTCTTTAGACGAACAGAAAGACTCAATGTCTTAGATTTGACTGGAATGCACTTTCTATCCCTACCAGTGTCAATTGAACTCCTCGCAAACCTTCACACGTTGTGTCTAAACCAATGTACACTAGATGACATAACCATTGTTGGGAAGCTCAAGAATTTAGAAATCCTTAGCCTTGCTCGATCGGACATTAAAGCACTACCTCAGGAGATAGCACAATTGACTCAGTTAAGGATGCTAGATTTGAGTGATTGTACTAGACTCAAAATTATCCCACCAAATGTCTTGTCGAGTTTGTCCAAATTAGAAGAATTATATATGGACAATGGCTTTGTTCAATGGGAAGATGAAGTACTCGGCAAAGAAAGAAGAAATGCTAGTCTTGAGGAGTTAAAGCATTTGTCTTATCTGACCACATTATATGCTCATATTCCTAATGCCCAACTAATTCCAAAACATCTGTTCATTGAGCCATTGGACAGATACAGGATTCTGATTGGAGATGAGTGGGAGTGGTCCAATGACTATGAATACTCAAGAACATTGAAATTCAAGTTGCATACAAGCATTTACAGGGATCATGGGGTAAAAATATTGATGAACAAGACTGAAGATTTACATCTGGATCAACTTAAAGGCATCAAGAATGTACTTGCTGAGTTAAATAATGGGGAAGATTTTCCACATTTAAAGAAACTTCACATCCAAAATGGTCGGGAGGTCCAATATATTGCAACAGAGAAAATTAAACTTTCTCAATTGCAGTCCATGACACTTGAAGGTCTGCCACAGCTCATTACCTTCTGCTCTCAAGACAAAAGGTGTTCCACATCCCAGCAGGAGGGAAACACGAGCTCTGAGCCCTTGCCACTTTTCAATAAACAGGTATTAATTTGTTTGTTTGTGGATTATTCCGTATTCCAACTTTGGCTTTTATGGATTGGCCAAAAAAAAAAACTTTCGCTTTTATGCGTATTTGCTGACATGTTAAAATATTAAAAAAGTCTTTTGAATTATTTCATTTGTTAAATAACTTTTTATATTTTTATTGTATCTAAATAAGTACTTATATTTTGATTTATATCCAAATAAATTTTTATTTCAAATGCAGAACTGCATTTTTTTTCTGGTTCTCTTAATTTGGGAAAATTTTATATTTTATATAAGTAAAAGTTTTTTTTTAACATTTGTGATAGTGAGAAACTGATGTCTTACATGCATGATGTCTTATGTTAAGGTCTTATTTAAATATAAATTAAAGGTTAATAATTTATTTAGATTTAATAAAAATATAAAATTTTATCTAATTAATGTGATAAAGTTGATGTACTTTTTTATTGTTTTATCCTTTCTTATAGAACTGTTAATTATGCTCCTGTTTTGTTTGAATTTATCTTATTTTAAATCCTGTCCATGCTTTTTTTTTTATACATGAGGTTGGAGAGATGAATAATGATTATTGAAATTAAAAATAATATTTTATCAATAAATTACACGATTGTTTAACAAGTGTTTTTATTGTTTTCAATTACGAAGCCAGAATATGAAATGATCGTTATTGTGGAACTATGATGTAATATTCAATATATATAGTAAGTTAAGAATCAATATTTGATATAATTGTTGGATATATTACATGTTTGGTCACGCAAGTATTTACTATTTTGTTTTTATTTTGATCATCTAATTATAAAAGTTTACAATTTGATCATTAGCAGTTGTCAAAATTTTAATCTTTTGTTACTCAAATCTTAAAGGCTAACGGATGATTGATGTAATTTTCTAGGTTTGAAGACGTGCTATGGTGTGTTGCCATATCATTTTATATGCACATGACATTATTGATGTAACATTATAAATTTTATAAAAAATTCAGATACTAATAAAAATAAAAATAAATTATACATTTTATCACTTAATTTTGAAGAGTTTTTATTTTAGAGACAACTTTAAAATATAATAATTTTATCACCAACGTTTATAAAATTTATTAATGTTTTGATTTTCATTTTCAATTCAATCTTATTATCCACGTGACATTATAATGATTTAGTCACTATTGACATAGCCAATTAATAATTTACTCTTTATTTTTTAACTCTTCTATTTTTTTTTAAAATTGTATTTGCATGCAGCTTGTGTTACCTCACTTGGAAAGCCTGCGATTGTCCTCAATTAACGCCAAAAGAATATGGCACAACCAGCTTTCAGAGGCAAGTTATGGCGTTCCGAATTTAACGAGCTTGATCATTGAGGGCTGTGACAGCTTGGAATATCTATTATCGCCCTCTATTGCTAGAAGTCTGGTGCAGCTCAAACACTTAAAGATCGGGGAATGCATGTGCTTAAGAGATGTAATATCTACAGAGGGAATAGAAGAAGAAAAGGAAGGTGTGATTTGTTTCCCTCGATTAGACTCGCTGGAGATAAAGTATCTTCGTAATTTCATCAAATTCTGCTCAGGAAATTATAATATTGAGTTCCCTGCCTTGAAAGTACTGAAGATCAAGCACTGCCGAAAATTAAGAGAATTTATTGATGAAAGTAAAATGGAGGGGGACTATCAATCCAGTATACAAGCTCTCTTCAATGAGAAGGTGAGTAAGTAGTCTTTTATATATTCTTACTTCTGTTCTCTCTTTGTTTTTATTTCTCCTTGCATTTTTGCCTGAATTTTATGAACTAATTTTAGCATCGGTATTTGTTATTATTATATAGGCCGCAGTTCCTAGCTTGGAAAGGATGAAAATCTCCCATTTGGGAAATGTGAAGAAGATATTTCATAACGAACTTCTGGCTGGTTCTTTTTGTAAATTAGAAGAAATGATAGTTGAAAACTGTGATGAGTTGTTGACTGTTTTTTCATCTACTATAGTCGGAGTATTTAGCTGTCTGGGAAAGCTTACAGTGAACGACTGTGGTTCACTACAACAGATATTTGAGGCTGGAGGGTTAAATATCAAAGAAATACGTGCTGTAGATTGCCAACTAAGAGAATTGTTCATTTATGACCTACCAAAACTGGAGCATGTTTGGAACGATCCCCTTGGAATTCTTGCATTTCAAAATCTGCGAAAAGTAGCTGTTTGGGATTGTCCGAGTTTGAAAAATCTATTTCCATTGTCAATTGCCAAAGATCTTCCACAACTTGAATCTCTAATGGTGAGTAGTTGTGGGGTGGAGGAGATTGTGTCGGCAGGGGAAGGATTGGAGAAGCCTTTTAGGTTCAAGTTTCCTCAAGTGTCTTCCCTGCGGCTTATATGCCTGAATGGGCTCAAATGTTTCTATCCAGGGCAACACACAATAGTCTGGCCCATGTTGAAAAAATTGGGGACAGATTATTCAACTTTACTGAAGATGGTAGCTTCCGAACGTCTTAGCATCCAAGAATTGAATGGGAATGACCAACGAGAATGTACAATTCGACAGCCACTTTTCTTGGTTGAAGAGGTATGATTATGAACCTTCACTATTTCCTTTAAAAAACTAAAACATGGTCACATTCATGGTACGTCGATATGTGTTACTAATATTAATGAAATTTTAAGTTATTACATGAGATATATGAATAATTTTTTTTATTATTGATTTATTAACGTTAATACTAAAATCAATACCTATATATAAAAGCTATCCCTAATTGAATGAGATTGCTTATTTTGATATTTTGGACCATAATTTTTGGACAATTAAGATTTGTCATAAATGATGATTTGGGGTTAATTGGATAAATGCTGATTTCGGATTAATTGGATATAAAATTATATTATATTTAGGGTTAAATTATTAAATTACCTCTAAGGATATTTTTATCTTTAAGGCAAAGGAATAATAAACAAAAATGCTAAGAAAAAAAAATTCAAAAAAAGAGCAGGAAAACAAAATAAGAAAATAATTTGGAGAAAAATATTAAAAAAAAAGAGCTTTGGTTTTTGGATTTTTAAAAAATTTTAACATTAAACTATTCTTTAAAATTTATTGTTTATTTTAAAATATCTTAAAAAATAATATAATTTAGAATAATTTAAAAAACTATTAAACGTGTACTTTTAGTAATTAACTTTTTTTTTAAAGATAATGAGCATAAATGTTTTGAGCTCTTTTTTGGTTTTTAAAGAGATGAATGAGGAAGAATAATAAAAGTACCTAAAATGAAAATATGAATTTATTTCATTATTTTTATTTTATTTCATGATTCATTTTCACTTTTTATGTTTTTGTTTATACATTTTTTAAATAGAATATAGCCTAAAAATTTTAAAAATTGAAATTTTATAAACAAATTTGTATATTTTAAAATTAAAAAAAATATGCGTTTTGAGCTTTTCATGGTTTTAGTATTTAAAACAATTTTGAATATTTTTCTTTGTTATTTTCTTATATTTTCTTAATCTTTATTTTTTTAAATTTACACTTAAGTAAAATATTTTTATATTTTTGATAAAAGAAAAATAGGGATAAAGGAAAAAAATTCTGAAATTTTTTTATTATTATATTTTATTTTGGTTTTTCCTTCTTTTTTTATTTTTTATTTTTGTTAAATATCTTTCTTGTAGAAATTTTATGATTTAATATGATATGTGCCAAAAATACAAAATACAAAATACAAAATATAAAAATATCAATTTATATTGTTATCAATAATGGAAAGTAATAAAATATAGTTTTCAAAAAATAAATTATACGAATAAAAATTTAAATATATTCAATAAAATTATCATATTTATGATTCACACTCAACTTGTGAAATATTATTTGCATTAATATAAAAATCTTATGATTTTATCTTATAAAAAATGTCACACAAATATGTGTTTAAATATCTTTTTATATATTATATTGTGCTCCCATACTTAATCAAAATGAAATTTAGGGTGTTATAATCTTCTTATTAAGGTTTGACGTTCTTGTCAAGTTTAACACATAATACACAAGATTAAAATTTCAAGTGAGATTCTAGATGTGGCTTCTATCATGTAACACTTAATTCTCGAACTTTTAACTAGTGATTGCTTTGATATTATTTGTAGATTGCTGTATTCAACTTACAAGATATAATTTATTTTGATCTAAAAGCTACACGATCTTATTTCACAAAATGCATCACACAAATATGGATTTAAGTCTTTCCTTATGTATTATATCGTATTCTCATATTTAACCAATGTGTGATTAGGAGATTACAGTTTAAGAGTAAGTTTTCAACTTATTATGTTTAGAAAATTTTCTTAATCTTATTTATGTTTTAATATAATTTGTCACTAATCTTGCAAATATTTAGATAAATGCATATTTTATTTTTATTTTAAAAAATTATACGTTAGATTAAGCTTGCGATTGCGAAATATTTTGTTTTAATTGGTAAATGAATAAAAATATAATCATAAAAAAATTTTGTTGAATTAATATGTACTAAGCTTTTGATAATATATATTCATTTATATAATATGTTTTTGATTATTTGAATTTACATTTATTAATAAAAGCATAAATATTCATAAAAATAATTCTCACAGCAAAAATGCGTGTTGCATTCTAGTTTTAAATTTAAAGTTCACTTTTGATACACTTTGCATGTAACTCAATTTTTAATTTTGATTTTAATTGTAAAATATTAAAATTTAAATGTAAACGATTCTTTTCACCAATAATGCATGAGGTTTTGAAACATATAATAATTTGAAGTATAAATAAATGAATGTGTTGTATTCCTAAAATTTTCACTTATTTTTTGAAATATTATTTCATATTATTTTTTTAAATATAACATTTGAAGTATAAAAGGCTTTAACATAGAAATACAACAAAAACCTGATGCCCTTTTACACCTAAAATTGTTTTACAAACATGCATATATAGTTTTATTATACTAAGAGTTACATGGATTGCACGTGTATATGTGTTATGAGTACATTTTTAAGTAAAAATTTTGAAATATAAATAGCTATGCTCCTAATTTATATGGTTGAGTTTAAAATAAACATAATTAGAAAAAACATGAATGAAAATTAAGAATATTGTAAATGACAAAAAATTACTTTTTTATAGAATTCATATCTATCTCTAAGTATACATTTAATATATAAGATTATGATAAGATAAGATAAAATGATATATAAATAGAACTAAATTAAATAATGTCGTCTTATCTTTTGTTTGATATGTGGAAGGATTAGAGTAAGAGAATTTATTAATTAGTTAATTATTTTTTTCAAAATTTATATAATTTAAATTATTGATATAATTTTTAAAGGTATAATAGAACATGTAAATTTAATTCTATGAATTAAAAATAATTCTTTTCAATTTTGGAGAATTGAATTATCCTATACCAAGAGTATGATTAATTTTTCTTGTAATGTTATCCTTTTTTTTAGATACATATAAATTAAATATAATATAGAATGATTATCATTTTATTTTATCCATCATTTTATATATTAAACATGACCGAAATAATTAAGTGAACCATAATCTAAGGTTCATATCTATGTCAATTAATTACTAATTAAGTATTGTTTCAAAAAAAATTACTAATTAAATATTATTTCCCTTAAAATTTTATAATATAATAAAATAATTTGTAAAAGGATGTTAATTTTGAAATACAATAAAATTTGATATCCCTTTATGTCTAATGATATCCATTGATATCCTTTCATAATATAATAAAAATATTATTATTATTATTGGTAGGTTCACTTGTTAACTATGTAAACGCTAGCATCTCCTTACAATAGCCTACCTAGGTGGGTTTTTTTTTTTTTTTTTTGGGTGCAAAATCTATCTATCTATCCGGATCTTACATATACATAATTAGTTTTTAACTATTGAAACTAAAACATTAAAGTAGAATTTTTTATTATGTATACATAACTTTTAATAATAATATAAATTATGTTATGTTAAAAAATATGTATCTTAAGATTAACTTTAATTTTTAAAAAAATTAATTCAAAGAATAGTATCTGTTTTTTTAGAAGAAATGATTCAATTGAATTGTTGTTACTTTTATACATTTAAATGTTAAATGAGATGTAAGATCTGACAATTTAAAATATAAAATGATGTCAAAACTTGACAATGATACGAAAAAATATATAAAAATAATACGATTTAAAATTTTAACAAAAAACATGTATAAGTTTAGTAATAAAATGTATTTTATATTTTCATATTGATATAAATTATAATATATAATTTTTATATAAAATACAATACATATATAAGAATTATCAATATTTTGTTCGATATAGATACAAAAATTGCTAGGTATACAACATCAATTGTGTGATCCATTAAAATTAATTTTTTTATCACATGCTTCTAAAAGTTCTTTCATCTCGTAATTATGTTCATGTTTTGAAATTTTATTTGCATGCATGTTAACATTGTATATAGTCACGATAAGTTATAAATATTTCATAAATTTTATATTAATATCTAACTCATTAGAAAAAATGAAAAAGATTTACGCCTATGTAGCATCGTGCTGGCCAAAATACTAGCGTTTTTATTTTTTCTTTTCCCTATATGTGTACGTCACGGAATGACAGCTCTAGTTTTAGTAGTGTTAATAATTTTTACCTTTTCTTTTAAACAAATTTACCTGATTAATCATATATGTAGGAGGACTAAATAATTCAAAATTGAAGTCGAGATTTAAATGCTCATTTTAAGGACCTGTCAATTACTTAAACCTGTGACCGATGGTAGAATAACCCTTTCCTTTTGATCTTGTTGAGGAATGTTGGCTCTGACTTGATTTTATTTCATTGGATTTCAAGGTAATTCCCAAATTAGAGGAACTGTGGTTAGAAAAAATTGATGATATTGCAATGATATGTGATGGCCAGTTGCCAGTGGAATTCTTTCACCAGATAAAAGTTTTTGTGCTGCATGGTTCCCTAATTAGTGGATCTGCTAGTTTTCCAATTAGTTTCTTCCAACTATTCTACAATCTGGAAATTGTTGAATTTTTTGACTGCAACTTCAAATATCTAGTCTCTTGTGAAGGAAATGTTGCTGAGAAGGAAGATGCTGCGACACCTCTCCCTCGACTTAGAAAGTTAAAATTGAATTATTCTAAAAGTCTTACACATATATGGAAGAAAGATTCAATGCTAGCCTACATTCTTCCTAATCTTGAAACTCTTGAAGTCGAGGGATGTGATGATTTGATAAGTTTTGGATCCTCACCCTCTTCAGCATCTTTTCAAAATCTCACAACTTTGGAAGTGCAATGGTGCAACATGATGGTAAACTTGGTTACAGCCTCAGTAGTCCAGAATCTGGTACAATTAACGACAATGAGGATAGTGTATTGCGATACAATGACAGAAGTTATTGCAATCGAGGGATCAGATGGAGCAACATATAATGAGAAAATATTTTTCAGGAAATTGAAATATTTAGAACTTAGCGGTTTACAGAGCCTCACAAGCTTTTGTCCAGGGAATTATGCCTTCAAGTTTCCTTGTTTGGAACAATTAATTGTGAATGGGTGTCCTAGCTTGAAAATCTTTTCTCAGGGTGTTGTAAGCACCCCACGATTACAAAGAGTAAAAGAGTCGCGTAATCATCGCAAAGGGCGTTGGACTGGTGACCTTAATAGCACCATACAGCAGTTGTACACAGAAAAGGTATGGATTAATTCATAACGCTTCCTCCTGATAAATTTATTTTGCAGACTACTGTTCAATTATCTTTTATGATTGAAACACTGCCTTTTTTCATTGTTTTCAAAATTCAAAAGATATTAATATTAGTTCAATAACTAATGAAGAGTGTTTATTGTTAACTTGTTATTATTTGTATTTGTGAAATGTGATTGCTATCTTGTGCCATTCGCGTAATTTGTTAGGTTGGATGCCATCATTTCAAATTCTCGGACACATTTCCCGAGTTGATGGAAATATGGAATATCAACCCTCAAGAAATTTTGGACTTCAAAAACCTTAGAAGTGTCAAATTTTGTAATTGTAGCAGCTTGAAATACATATTTACTCTCTCTATGGCTTTGAGCCTCAAGCGACTTTACCAATTAGAAGTAAAAGAATGCAGTACAATGGAAGAAGTCATCGTGGAGCAGGGCGTTGAGGAGGAACCAACGACAGATAAGTTAACAATATTCCCCTGGCTTTGGAACATAGAAATTGAATCATGTCTCAACCTGACAAGTTTTTATTTGGGAAGTCAAGCTCTTGAATTTCCATCGTTGCAAATAATTAAAATAGCTGACTGTCCAAAAATGACTACATTTTCAAGAGACAAGGAGGAAGGGACAGCTGGCGATGGAAAGAAAAAAAGGCTTGGTCAGGACGTCTATATTACTGCAACCTTTTTCAGCCATAAGGTCAGTTTATTAGTGAAGATTCATTTTCATATTTTTGCATGATTTTTTGTTGGTTTTTCTATATGTTTGTCTCCCATTTGAATACTAGTTGTACATGCATCTCTTTTGTTCTTTTTTCAATTTGGAAAGGCTACCTTTTATCGCATCATATGAGACAGCTGATAGGATATTGGGTATGTTTAAGGTTTTTGTGGGTTTTTTTGTTATTTACATTTTGAAATTGGCTTTTGTTTTTATTAACCTTTTCTTTTTGTTTTCTATTTGTTGTTCAAAAGAAAATAAAAATTAAATAGTAAAAACATCAAACCAAAGTGCCAAACAAAAGCTTAGTGTGGGTTAAGTGTGATGTTATTGTATTTGGATAAATGCCTCCAAATCAGCTCATTAAATTCATCTAGGATTAATAAAGTATTATTAAAGGACATGGTTGTGTCATAAGCACTCTCCCTTTCTCCCTCTAGTCTTCAAATATTTGTGAAGCCAATTAAGTTCCATTAACGAGGAGAATGCAAAAAAAGACTTTATCCTGTTTTTGTTTGAGCATAAGCCAATTCAGGAGGAGATTTATGAATTAAAGAGAGGGCAGATCCATGATTACTCATCAGTGGGTAAATATTTTAACTTAATTTATGAAATTTTTTTTATTGAAATACAAATTAACATGTATAACAATTTTTGTCATAAATACATATTTGCATATCCAAAATTAGTCATATGATTATTGGTGAGTATAGCTTAAATATCGCAGACATATGCACACATATAAATAAGTATATATATTAATTTAATAAAATTCTTAAATATAAATTTAATATGTGAAAGAATAAAAATTAATGTCCAATTTTATCATCTACTTTCACTTCTTATTCATTATAATGTGAAGAATAACAAATACTTATTTCCTTATATATGATAAAAACAATATTTTCTTATATATAATGAAAACAAGGCACACATATTAGTTAAAGATTTTTTATTTTTATTAACTTATGCTTTATATGTTATTATATGAACTCTAAAAGATATTTATTTGTTTTCGTACGAAGCGAATATATATTTTAATAAAATTGCTTATTACCAAGGTATAAACGTTCAATTTTTTTAAAATAAAATGTTTAATTACTAAATAAACAATAAAAAGTTTTTTTTAATAAGCCTCAATTTAATGGGGGCAAATATGATAAAAAAAATTTAGTAAGGGTAAAGCTTAACTCTTTTAAAATTTATGAGATTTTTTTATAATTAACTTAAAGAATTTTAGGATTTTAGTGGGGACGGTTGCACTGACAACCTCATCCGTAGATTCGTCCCTTAAATATATATATATATATATATATTAAGTGAAGATCTTTTTAAGGAAAATAAATAATTTTTTATCATTAATTACTTGTATCTTTAAAAAAATAAATTATCTTAAAATTTATTTGTAAGTTCTCAAAATTTTTTTATGAAATGAGTTGTTCAATTTAAGGTTTTTGTAATGCAACGATGGTACGATTGGGCTTTCAACTAGGGATGGCAAAATCTACCCTTTTAGGTTCCGATTTGACCTTAAAAGGTCATTTTGTTAAATTATGTTTTGAATTGGATTGAATTAGATTTTTTTTAGAATTTGGATTGGGTTGGAATCGTGTTTTAAGTAAACCCTTTCAACTAGACTCCATATATATAAAAAATATTTTTTTATTATTTATTTAATTTTATTTTTGTATATATATCTTATATTAATAAAATTATTAATTAATATTTTAATTTAAGATATTAAGTTAATAAAAATAATATAGTTATGTATAATTAAAATGTAATTTATATTAAAAATAATATTTTATAAATATTATAATAAATTAAAATTATTAAATTAATTTTAGATTGAGTCGGATATAATTTTGTACATATATGGATTGAGTACAAAAATAGTGTTTTGATATTGGAATGTAGTCGAATTTTAATTTTATAAAGTTAAATTGAAGTCGAGTTAGAAAAACTCACCTCGATCTGTTGCCATTCTAAATGGTTAGGGATGCAAATGGCTCATTTCTATTATGTGCTATCACTAAAACCTTTTTTGCAGACAATTTATTACATGTTGAGATGAGATGCTGTCATTACGTATAAATCCATAAAATCTATAGTTAGATACAACACAATGAGTCGTCATCAATCTTTTATTAAGATATGATTAGTCACTTAGTGAATTTATCATTTTAAAAAAATTCTAAGCTTGAGTAAGGGTTCTAAAGAATATGTTCTGACCTTCTGAATAGAATTAGGTTCGAGAATTAAGTGATATATAAGGAAGGATATAACACCCTTATAATGCTCATATTAAAAGAAATGTATCATTTAATTTTAAATTATCCTAAAGGTTTATAGTTTTAATATTCTTAAATTTAATATTGAAAATATTTTTTAAGATTCATCATCAATCTGTTAAAATTTTTAAAAATACTTTCATATCTCAATAGTATTCAAGAATATCATTTGTCTTCTTAAAGAGGTTCTATCATCGGAATCATTTACTTTTTTGTTAAATTTTTTGTTATTAAAATTATATATATTTCTTCCACCATATGGGCTTAATTAAAAACATTTTCTCATTTAAAAAAGTCTCAAATAATTATTCATTTGTGATTACTAAAAATTTCATCATCAGAATTTATTTTTTTTTATTTTACAAATTTTTATTTCTAAATTTTTCATTATTTATGTCTAATTTAGAAATATTTTTCCTAAAATTTGATCTCTATTTATTCATCACTTTAAAAAATATTATAACAATTATTTTTTTAAAGTTTCATCTAAATTCTTTTACGGTTTAGGTTGAATTTAAAAAGAAACCTTTCATCTAAAAATTTTATAGAACTTTAGTCATTTGCGATTTTTTTTGAGATTTTATCATTAATTTTATGAAGGATTTTAATTCCAAAGTTCATTCTATTATTTCTAAAATTTCTAATGTGGTTATTTTATTCTAATAATTTTTGTTATTGAAATTTTTACTTAAACATTCAACTATTCTGGAAAATTTGAGAAAAAAATTTTTAAGTTTCACTTAGAAATTCAACCATCTTGAACTTTTTAGAATTTCATTATTAGATATTAATTCTTCTAAATTTTCGTTACACAAGTCAAAGATACTTATTTTACAAATATATTTTAGTTGAAATTTTTTATGCCTACCAAAATATTCTAATTTAGAAATTTAAAATTGAATAAAACACTACATTATAAATAAACATAAAAAAAAAAAGACAATTTAAACAACAAGGCTGTTGGTGATATGAGTCGAACTTTACTTACCTGGGTTGGTCACGAGGATCTATGTCCATGGCTGTGGGTCTCTGAAGCCTGAACTAAAGTTTTCAAACCAATTATTGGCTTTATCAAATTACTTAAACTTCTCCTGATTATTTCTTTCTGTTTCTTAGACTCTTTGTTAAGGGCACTCCTCTCCCCGTTTCTTCTCTCTTTAAACAATCCATAAGAGGGTGACTTTTTTTATCCGTCTTTTCCTTTTCTAAATTTGAAAAATTCTCATGAAATTGCTACATCCAAATTCGAAACCGTGAGCCTTCAACCTGTTTCTCTACATCCATGTAGCTCTAATCTTCAACGCATAAATTACCCAATTATTCCCGTTCTCGCCTCCTCGCTTGTGTCAATTCTTTCTGGGATCTTGTTTCCTAGGATTGGGCACTATGATGGGTTTTCTACCCGGTGCTGTTGATCGACCTGTTATTGCTCCCGTGTTAATCTGTTCATTGGTTTTTGTAGGACAGTGTCCTAGTTGTGATTGAATCTTAATTTCTTCCAAAAACAATCTCATCACCTGATTAAAACATTATATTCAAAAAAATATCTTTTTTTTATTTCAATTATCATCTAGGGATAAATATTCACAATAATCTTTATTTTTTATTTTTATTTAAAACCGCTAATCAAATAATATTCAAAGATAAATAAAAATTAATATAAATCAAAGATAAATAAATATAAATAAAAAACTAATAATAAAATAATCCATAAATAAATGAAAATCAACATGTAAAGATAAAGATAAAACATAAAAAAATCTAACCATAAAATAAAAAAAATAAATAAACAAGGATAAAATAATAAATAAATAAATAAAATTGGGCCTCGATTGGATTGAGCCCAATTAGTTTTGGCCCAATTAATTTGAGCTTGAATTAAATAAGATGTCTACAATTGTCACTATTTGCACATTTTCTGTGCAACAAGAATTGTGTAAAGACATAAACAACTTATTACGTCCAGCCATAACTTAATAACAATTACAAAACGTCGAAACTTTAAAAATTTATAATTTGAAGTATTCAAGAAATTAGCAATAAACAATTCGCAATGCAAGTTGAAACTCAAAGATTCACAATTTAAGTTAAAGAATCACAATTTTGAAATTCAAAGGTTTGCAATTCAAAAGTTTGAGATTCGTAAGAATTTCAGATTCGCAAAAATTTTTCAGTTTTGCAAGAATTTTAATATTCAGAGTCGCATGAATTTTTAGGTTCGCAAGAATTTGATTTGCAAGGATTTAAGGTTCGTAGGGGTTAATGTTTCGCAAGATTTTAGTTTTGCAAGAATTTAATTATCAAAAACTTACATTCGCATGAATTTAATTTTCAAAATTTTGGTTTTGCAAGAATTTCATTATCAAGAACTTAGATTTGTAAGAATTTGATTCTTAAAATTTCAAAGCTTTGGATTCAAAATCTTTAGAGATTCACACAAAAATTCAACATTCTCATTTAAAAATTCTTAAAGATAATGCTTAGAGGTTTTATAAATCATTCTTAATATTAAAAATGCTCCTTAAAAAGGCTCCACAATTTTAAAATTCTAAACGTTTTCCTCATAAAATATTTTCCTCATTCAAGGATTCACAATCTTATCTCAAGAAGCTTTCTTCAAAAAGTTTAAAATTTCTTGTCATGAAAGCTTTTATCAGAGTCAAAACTTTGTATATAAAGAATGTCATG